GTACACTGAAGTCAATAGAGATCAGTGTCAGACAGTGATATGGTTTGTCATTTTCACAAAAAGGTAGACACAATAATTGATAACTTTTTGTGTACAAAAGTACTTCAATGTATTGGGTTCAATATCAAGTTACAATCCTTGTGCATGTTACCTTTGTCTGTAAACTTTGGATACTGTAACCTTTGTTGCTCAGCTTGGAGTATATAATTTGTTTTATTTTTTTGGTTCAGTAGTGCTGCAATGATACACATACCTCATGTTACGCATAGCAGTATGCTGCTTATGATTTGACATGTATCACAATACACATATCTCTTCCAAAAGGTCAATTTCACAATGATTGAGTGCAGGATTTTATAATTTTATTTAATGTCATATATAGTCTTAATTAAATATGTATGGTGAAAGATTCCAAACCAATAAGTAACTTAATTAAGAGTTAATAAAACAATGATTGTTAATTTTTAATTTCAGTACCAACGGCAAACAAAATAATTCGTAACAATACATTAGAAATTATTTGGATACAATACGGTACAATATATTGTTACTGCCCTATTATTCAGCATATAAAATGATTAATTCTGTCTGTAAACATTTACAAGCTGAAGCAACAAATGCCAACATCAGTTTAAGTTTTTCAAACCTTTTACATCTGTGCAGTCAGATTTCACTTTATTTTTTATTTTTTTTTGTTTGTTTTTGTTTTTAGGAAAAGACAAATATGTTTTTCTAACTGTAAAGGATGCGAGCGAGCCTAGTAAATTACCTGTACCAGAAGAGGTAGAAAGACCAGAGAAGTTCGTTAAAGGTAAATATATAGTTATAACTTGGTCCTTGGCCAAAATTAGTTGAAAGTTTATGATTTATCATTGATTACTCTTAAAATCAATCAATAATTGTTTTATGAATCTCAATGTTGTTGCTATATGACTTGATATAGGTAAAACATAAAAAACAGGACCTGAGTTACAAAAATTATCTCCCTTCAATTGGTCTTAAAACAGACTTGAAAGTCAGTGACAATGCGTGCCGACAGAGCAGCTGAAAAAATATATAAGGAAACTAATGCTTCTTTAAACTCTTATTAGTATCTCATATCTAGCAGGGGGATACTGATTTGAAATCATGATATCACCATATGGTTAAACCGTTATTCTGACTTGATTCTGACGATTTGATCATGATTTCTGTAATTGATTTATCGGCCTGACTAACCATTATTAAAGGAAAAATATGTTATTTTCTTCTCATATATTGAAAAGAGAAAATGTAGTTCCAAGTATATTATGTTGCATTTTACCCATTTTGATGTTTAGACATAGAGCCTTGTAAGTTTTGAATGAAAAAAACTAGTTTCTGGAAATATATTATTATATGTATATTACGGTATCGTGCTGCCTGTTTTATTGATTATGTCCTTTTCAGCAAATGTTTTCACCAATCTTTTGAAAGGGAAAAGATAATTGGCCCATGTTAAACATAGTTCAAATATGATGGGTGGAAAATAAGGTCAAAGGTCAAGTCACTATTCCTGAAAATAGAATTTTCAATTTTATTGAAACACATCAGACCAGTATAGTCCATCGAACATGGCTACTAGAAAAAGAAATAACATTGCGATTTTCAATTGTTTTTTTCTATTTTCTGATTCTGTATCAGAAAAACCGATCGCGCCCAACTTATATTTCTTTCAAAACTGCAAGTAGACCTATTTTCGTGATGGTGGTGCTCCCAAAAGCTCATGTTGGACATGTGGTTTGTAAGTTTTCTTTTTTTCAAAACATATTCAACAATTTTCATTTTAATTCATTTTAGAACATTAAATGATCATTTCTACTGCTGCCTGTTATAATTATACAACAGAGCTGTGTATTTCAGAGTATTTCTAGATCTATTGTTACAAGAATATCGATGATTTTGATACCTGATTGAGTTGTAAATATACCCGATATCTAATGAGTATCTTATGGGTCTCCTGTGGTTGATGTCTTGTTTAGGTATTCAATTTATTAGTTGTTTTCTTACTTTCCAGGTTTTGTTGATAAGGACAATAATCTGAATTGGGAATGTGCCTGTCGAGGACAAATGGTAGCCAGCAAGTGCGGTGTGGAATCACGGAAATTTTTTCAGTGTATTCATGAAAATATTGACAAAAGTGACAAGTTTGAAGTCTGTATAGATCCGTTAGTGGAAATGCAGAAATGCATGGAGAAATATCCTAAACAATACCCCATATTCGAGGATAAAGAAGATGTGGAAGACGCTGAAGATATTTTACGATGAGAAAAATAAATAGTTCTCAGGCACAAATGTACATACAGTGACAGTAGTGTTAAGCCTGCAACAAGACAGGGGGGCTAGCACATGATCTAGAATCTGGTATAGGGATGGGCTTAATACAA